TGAAGGTCATGAGTTCGTTCCTTGTGATGGGAGCAGACCCATCAGTCGGCTGTTGCCGAGCTAGCGGTGCGCCTGCTGGCTCGCTTCCTGTTTGAAGATGCTCCCGTTCCCTCCTTTCGGTATGACGGGTACGTCGGGCCCTTAGGGTCCCGTCTGGAGCTGTATGAGTTTCAACTTCAAATTCACTTTCGGTATCATGGTCCGACTGAACTTGAGGGTCGTCTAGGGGACGCCTCTCTTCTGGAGTCGGTACAGACTTGGATGCCATCTCTGAAGTACTCTCCCCACAGACGGCGCCAAATGTTTCGGGGTTTTCTGATGTCCTGCGGGAGAGTTACAATTCCGAGACTGGAACCGGACGCCTGTACCTGCAAAATAACGGAGACTCCTGAGAGCTCCGCCTCCAACGGTCAAGTTAGTACCTGATTAAGGAGTAATTAATACAGAAATTAAAGTAAAGAGATCTCTCTAGGTGAGAGTGCTTAGTGTTGGTAATCTGCGTCGTTAGCGAGATTAGCCGGTTGTTGGTGTTCAGTAATATTTCTGTTCTTCTCTACTTGATTACTTTTCCATCATCTAACTAATGAGGATTAATTAAGTATTTATAGCCTTGAGAAGCGTGCAACTCTCTAGGTTTAAGGTAAACCTAGGGCTGATCGGGCCTCTAGACTGGATTGGGCCTCGATGGCCGGTTTTCCCATTTGGCATGGGTGGACACGTGGCGTGTCTAAATTGGTCCGTAGAGGACGTATCTGTGATTGACACGTGGCATGCTCCTGTTGGCCTTCGTGAAGGACACGTGGCGGAACCTGGTTGGTCCACTTGTCAGACGGTGATTGGTGGATAAAAATCCCCTAATCAGGTTACATTCAAAAAAAAAATAAACACAACTTTGTTTGACTATTGAAATTATTACAATGTAATCTATAAAGTAAAATTAGTTCCAAACAATTAAACAAAAAATAGAATTTAAGCGCACATAATTAAAGAAATGAAAAAATTATGGAAATATGTATTCATCAAAAGATCATATATAGTCGAATAACACATTAGTAATCATTATCAACGAGGCAGTACGCCGGTACTTGATTAAATAGCTAAATAAGAGTAGTTAGAGGTTTAAAGATTTATAATACTGTACTTTAAATATACGAAGTATATATTATACACTATATAACGAAATCCAAATACAAGTAAATAAAAGGGAAAAATCCAAAATCAAGAAAAAGAAGTTAAATGGGAGCACTTTGTATAAACTATAAAATGAAATAAAAAAATCTCAAAAGAGGAAAAAGGAATTAAAATTAAATAAAAACATGTATTTGTGAAGGCTCGATCCTAGTACTGAAGGAAGAAACAAGCCCTATTCTAAGCCCAACAACCACCAGACCATATTCAGCCTTTATGGCACTAGTTGCACATATAATATATATATTGTTATTTATTGAAGCTGTTTATGCTTACAAAAAAAAAAATTTAATTTTTTTTTTAAATGGGGGACAGCTGTCCACCCATGTTCCTATAGTGGCTCCGCCACTGACAACTAATTATATTTGTGCTTAATTTAAACAACCCGTGATTATACTAATGGATGAAAATGAACAAATAGGCAGAAGGTCATGATAAGATATATGAACCTACAGTAGCAACAATGACAAAGCATTGGTATAAATATCATATTGTGACTCACATGAAAATAGAGCTTGCTTATACCCACCAGATTAAATATGACAATACACTTGCTTTAGGTAACTAAATCATGACAACCAGGCTACTAAATTCATTTACAACTCAAGCAAACCTTGTACAAAAACCAATTAGGCAACATGTACTTGAACTCAAAATAAACCCATTATCCATTCTCAAACCAAAAATCAACGAGACTAAAGAACTTCCAATTTATGCCAAATTATGTATAATTGAACATGACCAAAAATAATATAATGACATGTAGACATGATAAACAAGGTAAAATAAATAACATGAACCACAGACTATCCTATCACGCAAACTACGTTATAAAAACAGAAATCAAGTTTGTTCGTAACCGCAATAGAAAACCCATACAACCAATTATAATTGTATCTAATCTTATCTTAATACCCTACCATGATTTCTAGAGTAATGGAATAATGCTAGTTACCTCGATAAAATTCCGATAAAACCAAAGAAACTATAGGAACTCAAAATGAACTAGTCCTCTTTATGAACTTGAAAACCTATACAAAACAAGATTGAAATAAGAAGATGTATGTATAACAAACCATACACAAGGGGACGAAAAAGGGAAGGGTTTAACCCATTAAACTTACTTATTTTCTCAACCAAATTAAGAGGGAAAGTAAGATGATCCTTCTAACAATAAAACCAAGCAACAATCTCACAAGAATTGAGGAAGAAGGAGATGTATTAAGGAGGTGAAAGAAGGAAGAGTGAAAATACTTTTTGTGAATGATTCCCACGGTGAATGGGAAAAGAAACAAGGTGAAAGAAGGAGATGTATTTGCTTAATGAGGGCAGAAAATATGATGGGTTTGGGGAATTATAAGAGGCAAGAGTATATGAATTGGAGGCAAGAATCAAGGGGATCATTAACTAATTGGCAACTAAAGAGTCAATGAAAGAATCCTATATTTATCTTTCAAAAACCAATTCAAATACTTGTATACTACTCCAATCCCACGCCAAATCAGCCCAACACCTCTTAGGTTATAGCCCAAACACCGAAATTTGGTTCAGTCCATAAAAGTAACCTCGGTATAATTCGCCCAAACAGGCTTAACTAAAAACCGTGAATAAATAATTAACATGTAATATTTCAAATTAGTTTTACACTCTTATCAATCATAAATTAAAAGTCCTTAAAAGTATTATGATTTGAATAGAAAATATCATTACACACATAATAATTCAAAATTTATAATTCAAAAATATGGGGTGTTACAACCACCCCTCCTTGTAAAAGTTTCGTCCTCGAAACTTTAAGACACAACACATCAACTACAAATACAAACAACTGAACAAGTAATAATAGAAAGTGGTATTTTAAGCTACAGCTCTTTACCTTGGTTAAAAAAACTCTGGATACTTGAGCTTCATCGACTCCTCAGTCTCCCAAGTAGCCTTTTCATACTTTTGGCTTCTCCAAAGTACTTTTACTAAAGGGACAACCTTCCTTCGAAGAGTGCGATCTTGACGATCGAGAATTTTAACTGGTCGCTCCTCAAAAGTTAAATTCGGCTTAATTTTAACCGACTCAGCTGGAATCACATGAGAAGGATCACTACGATACCTTCATAATTGCGACACATGAAAAACATTGTGAACCTTTGAGAGATTCGGAGACATTGGCAATTGATAAGCTAGTTCACCAATTCTTTCCAAAACCTCGTAAGGACCAACATATTTCGGACTTAGCTTGCCCTATTGCCCAAAACGCATCACCCCCTTCATCGGAGATACCTTCAACAGATGCTTGTCCCCAAACTCATAAGAAATTGGCTTGCGACGCAGATCTGCATAAGACTTTTGCCTATCTTGAGAAGCCTTCATTTTGGAACGGATCACTCTTACCTGCTCCACAGTTTCTTGAATTAGATCTAGGCTCAAAACTAGAGAATCAGTTATGTCGCTCCAGCAAGTAGGACTACGACACTTCCTACCATACTAAGCCTCATATGCAGCCATTTGAATACTCGCATGATAACTATTATTGTAAGAAAATTCTACCAGACTCAACGATTTGACCCATGATTGCAGAAACTCAAGAGCACAAGAACGGAGCATATCTTCCAACGCTGAATAGTTCTCTCTATTTGACCATCAGTAGAAGCATGGAAAGTCGTGCTCAACTTCAGCTTTGTGCCAAAGGCCTCTTGGAAAGCACCCTAAAAGTGCGACAAGAATCATGGATCACGATCCGATACAATGTCTTTCAGGACACCATGAAGACGAATAATCTCATTAGCATAAGCTTCTGCTAACTTCTCCATTGACCAAGTGTGTCTCATAGGAATGAAATGAGCCATCCTAGTCAACCTATCCAAAATAACCCACACGTCATTTTTCCCACTAGCAGCTTCGGGAAGGCCATTACAAAGTCCATAGATATAGAGTCGAACTTCCCAGCGGGAATCGGCAAAGGTTGCAACAAACCCCTGGGCCTTTGATGTTCAATCTTTACCTTTTGGCAAACTAAACAATGAGCCACAAACTCAGCTATTTCCTTCTTCATACCAGGACACCAAAAGCTCACCTTGAGATCCTTGTATAACTTTCCACCTCCCGGGTGAACAGAATACGAAGTGTTATGAGCCTCTTCAAGGATCTTCTTCTTAAGACTAACATCATTCGGGACATACCATCGATCCATGAATTTCAAACTACCATCGATACAAATCTCAAAATTCTCAGCTTGACCCTGTGCTTTAGCCTCACGAATCTTTTCTAACACCAAATCATCTACCTGCTAGCCCTTAATTCTTGGAACAATTCTGGCTCAGCACTCATAGAACCCAAGAATGAAGAGACAAACCCTTGTGGTACAACCTCGATATTTAGCTTTTGAAATTCTTCACAGAACTCCTTAGACACGACCATTGCAGTGTTTAAAGAATGTTTATTCTTACGACTCAAAGCATCCGCTACGTTATTGACTTTTCCTTCACAATAGTCTAGAGTCACCTTGTAGTCTACGATTGCCTCTAACTAACTTCTTTGCCTCATATTAAGATCCCGTTGAGTAAAGATATACTTCAAACTCTTATGATCAGTATACACCTTACATGGAACCCCATACAAGTAGTGTCGCCACATCTTTAGCGCGAATACGACAGCCGCAAGGTCGAGATCATGAGTTGGATAGTTCTTCTCATGAACCTTCAATTGTCTCGACGCATAAGCGACAACCTTACCCACTTGCATCAGAACACAACCTAACCCATTCTTCGAAGCATCACTATATACCTCAAACTCAATCCCTTCGGTAGGCAATGTTAGTATAGGTGCAGATGTCAACCTCTTTTTCAGCTCTTGGAATGCATTCTCGCAAACTTCGGACCACAAGAACTTGAAGTCTTTTCTCATTAGCTTTGTCAATGGCTGAGCAATTCTAGAGAAATCCTGCACAAACCTCCGACAGTAGCCAGCAAGGCCTAGAAAACTTCAAACCTCTGACACATTCTTTAGACTTTCCCACTCAACAACCGCTTTGATCTTAGAAGGATCCACCTTAACCCTGTCCTTACTAATGACTTGGCCAAGGAAATCAACCTCTTTTAACCAAAACTCACACTTAGAGAGCTTGGCGAACCACTTTTGTTTCCGAAGAACATCTAGTATCGACCTCAAATGCCCTTCATAATCTTTCTCATTCATAGAGTAGAAAAGTATATCATCTATGAATACCACGACTCACTTGTCAAGGTACTTATGAAATGATCTATTCATCTGATCCATGAAGATTGCAGGAGCATTTGTGAGACCAAAAGTCATCACTTCAAACATATAGTGACCATACCTTGTACGGAAAGCAGTATTTGGGATATCCTCCTTTTTCACAAAAATTTGATGATATCCAGACCTGAAATCGATCTTTGAGAAAACTCCTGTGCCTTTTAACTAATCGAACAAGTCTTCAATTCTGGGCAAAGGATACTTGTTCTTGATTGTCACCTTGTTTAATTCACAATAGTCTATACATAACCTCATACTACCATCTTTTTTCTTGACGAACAAGACAGGAGCACCCCAAGGAGAGGCACTCAGCCTAATAAAGCCCTTATCAATCAACTCATGCAACTGAGTTTTCAATTCGTGCAATTCAGGAGGCGCCATTCTATATGGAGCCTTTCATATTGGGGCAGTACCAGGAACTAAATCGATACTGAACTCGACGTCTCTTTCTGGAGGAATACCAGGCAATTCCCCAGGAAACACATCCGGATACTCCTTAACAATTGGAATACTCTCAAGTTTTCTTCGAAAGATAGGTCCTTTACTACACAAAGGAAGACCTCATCCCCCTTTTATCGCATCTTTCTCAATTTTAGAGCAGAAACACCTTCACGCCTTTCTTCACCATGACACATGAATAGGAGATTCGATTTCCTTTAGGACCACGAAGCGTCACCTTCTGATCACGACAATGGATGGTTGCATGATATTTTGACAACCAATCCACCCCAAGAATTACATCAAACTCGATCATTGGAAACTCTTTCAGATTAGCAAAAAGCTTAGTCCCCTAGATATTTGATAGGCACATCGTTAAACTCATCATGGCACAGAAAATTCTCTCTAGAAGGGTGAGATATCAAAGACTTTACAGGTGATCTACTAGTCAAATTAGCTTTAACAACAAAGTCACTAGCAATGAAAGACACAGTAGCTCTTGTATCAAACTACACATAAGCAGGTACAGAATTCACAAAAAATGTACCAGAGATCACATCCGGTTGCACGTCTGCTTCAGCCTGTGTCATCACATAAATGCGGTTTTTGACAGGAGCGGAAGGATCAACTGATTTAACAGCTGGAGGATAATCAGAATTTGGGTTTTTAGGACACTTGAAGGACTTATGACCCACCTCCTTACAGTAGTAACATACGATTGTAGATCCATCACAATTCTTTCGTCGATAATAGTCTTTTCCACATGTACGACACTTAGAGTGAGAACCCGACCTGAAACTCGAACTAGAACCAGATCCCTGCTGATAGTTGCCTCGGTTACCAGAGTCAAACTCTTGCTTCTTAGCCGAGGATTGAAAGAAAGTAACAACCGACTTCTTCACACTCACGCTCCTTGCAACTTCCTCTTCTTGGTTAGAGGCATGGATGCTAAGTGCAATCTCGTAGGCACCCTAAAAAGAACTTGCACCGGAACTTAGGACATGGGTCCTAACCTTAGGATCCATCTTCTTGATGTATCGTTTTACCCTCTCAGATTCTGAAGACACAATAGAGGTGGAAAAACGGGACAACTCAGTGAACTTGTCTATGTACTCCTGGATGGACATAGACCCCTGAGACAAAGACAAAAATTCTTCTTGATTTTGCCAACGAAGGTCATCAGGATAAAATCCTTCCTTTAGCTTGGTAGCAAATTGTGCCCACCCAAAATTAGGCAATGCCATGCACTCTTCACGAACTATACTCCACCAGCTGTCGGCTTCCATTTTCTAATAATAGAAACCGATTGGCATCCTCTCTTGCGGAGGATAGTTAGTTGCAGTGAACAACTTCTCCATCTCTCTGAGCCAACTTTCTAGAATTATTGGATCAGTAGTTCCTTCATAGGTAGGTAGTCTATGACAGTCAAGACGATTAAAGAATGATTGCCTTTGATTTGGAGGAGGTGCAACAATTCGATTTTCTAATGCTAAAATGGCATCCTCAACCGCCTTTCGCCTGCGTCGTGTAGTAATCTTCTTAGGAATCATTCGTGGAGGCATTCTACAAAAAGAGCAGAAAGGTTAGGTCATAATACACATCAAGACTCAACACGTAAGAAGAAGAAATAATATACCCTTGGTTTCTTCCTACCCAAATAAATCACTCATAAACTTCTTGAAGCCTAATATATTAAACTTTAAGATAACAAGAACTACAGAATTCGTAGAAAACGTAAGGTAGCAACTCAATGAGAATTTTAAGAACATTTTGCTCTGATACCAACTGTAACACTCCTTCTATACATAAGGCATGACGTTAGCGAAAATAACGCCGAGACGAGAATGTCTCTCTAAAGGTTACCAAAAAAAAGAAATAAGACATTGATTAAAATATCTAAGATAAATAAAGTAAAGTTAAAGAAATCCCAAATAAACAATAAACACTTCTAACGAGATAAAACAATCCTCAAAAATGATAATCCCAAAACATAAGGTCCAAAGATAACTAAAGCAAGTCTATAAAACCACTAAGAAATAAAATAAACACTCTACTCTTAGCCCAAACTCATCAGGAACTACTCTTCACCTGCAAATAACATTAAGGTTCCACAATTAGTGGGGAGTAACTAGCATTTCTCCCAGTACTTGTAGAAATACAAAGCTAAGTACAGAAAAGCTTAGACACTAGCACAAAACTTAACAACATGTGGGAACATCAACTAAAATAATAATTACCAGTTAAACTCGAGGGGAAAAAAACATGGAATCATGATTATAATTCAGATCAAGCTTGTAAACATAATAACGTAAAAATATTACCACAAGAATTCAGAATAAAATTTAGCAACTCAAAACAAATGGTAACTCATATAGACGATAATTAACACTTATAAAGCTTCCTGCTCAATATCAATATTATCTTTAAAATAAAAAAAATTTAACCGTTTTGAAAATAAGATTTATAGTGAGGAGAGCATATAAAATATGAACGCCGGTTAAATCCGCAGCCCACCATCAAAGGTTTGTCAGGGCGAACCAACAGACGATTCCGCAGCCGTCTCCATCTGACAATGGCCAAACTCCCAGTTTTCCTAAACGAATTTCGCAGCCCGAGTAGTTCCGGACGACAACAATTAACCTAGAAAATTACATCTTGAATTCCGCAGCCCAAGATGTTGGCATATGTTCCAACCATTGAATTCCGCAACCCAATGGTTGTATTACACTCACAAAAATATATAAAATTTATAAACATACTTCTTCAAAGTCATTTAAACACATTTAGGGATCATCAACCCCAAAAACCAAAATTAAACAAAAAATCCTTAAAAAGAGTTTAACTTCAAAATTCTTCAAAATATAAAATAACCCATACACTCCGTACACAACCCTTGGTGAAGCGGTGCTAAAACATTGTTATTCTACTTTATAGCACAACGACGTCGACAACTTATTTGACACTTTAAAACCAATTTTTTTTTAAAAAAAAACTCCATAAACACTTACAAAAAAAATGAACATTGCTTCTAGTTCATAATTTCCATCATTATACCAAATCATTTAAATACATGATAAAGTACCAAACTCTATACAGCAAAATAAAAGATCGAATTATATAAAATTAAATTATTCAATATATAATTTTAACACTTTAATCAAATATCTAAACATGAAAAATTACCACAAACAACTGAATATAACAACAAGTCTTCGGCCATCAACAAACATGACAACTATTAATATTTGTGCTTAATCAAAACAACCCATGATTATACTAATGGCTAAACATGAATAAATAGGCATAAGGTCATGAATCTCATGATAAGATATATGAAGCTACAGTATCAGCAATGACAAAGAATTGGTATAAATTCCATATTGTGACTCACATGAAAATAGAGCTTGCTTATACCCACCATATTAAATATGACAATACACTTGCTTTCGGAAACTAAATCATGACAACAAGGCAACGAAATTCATTTACAACTCAAGCAAACCTCGTATAAAAATCAATTAGGCAACATGAAGTTGAACTTAAAGGCAACCCATTATCCATTCTCAAACCAAAATCAACGAGACTAAAGAACTTCCAATTTAAGCCAGATTATGTATAGTTGAACATGACCAAAAATAATGACATGTAGACATGGTAAACAAGGTAAAATAAATAACATGATCCACAGACTATCCTATCACGCAAACTACATTATAAAAACAGAAATCAAGTTTGTTCATAACCGCAATAGAAAAGCCATACAACCAATTCTAATTGTATCTAATCTTATCTTAATACCCAACCATGATTTCTAGAGTAATGGAATAATGCTAGTTACCTCGATAACTTCCAATGAAACTATAGGAATTCGAAATGAACTAGTCCTCTTGATGAACTTCAAAACCTATACAAAACAAGATTGAAATAAGAAGATGTATGTATAACAAACCATACACAAGGGGACGAAAAAGGGAAGGGTTTAACCCATTAAACTTACGTACTTTAACAGCTAAATTAAGGGAAAGTAAGATGATCCTTGCAACAATAAAACCCAACAACAATCTCACCAGAATTGAGGAAGAAGGAGATGTATTATGGAGGTGAAAGAAGGAAGAGTGCAAATACTACTATGAATGATTCCCACGATAAATGGGAAAAGATACTGATGAGTATTGTCTTAATGAGGGCAGCAAATATGATGGTTTTGGGGAGTTATAAGAGGCAAGAGAATATGAATTGGAGGTAAGAATCAAGGGGAGCATTAACTAATTGACAACTAAAGAGTCAATGAAAGAATCCTATATTTATATTTCAGAAACCAATTCAAATACTTGTATACCACTCCAATCCCACGCCAAATTAGCCCAATACATTCCTAGGTTATAGCCCAAACACCGAAATTTGGTTCAGTCCATAAAAGTAACCTCGGTATAATTAGTCCAAACCGGCTCAACTAAAAACCGTAAATAAATAAATAACATGTAATATTTCAAATTAGTTTTACACTCTTATCAATCATAAATTAAAATTCCTTAAAATATTATGATTTGAATAGAAAACAACATAACACACATAATAATTCAAAATTTATTAGTTCAAAAATATGGGTGTTACATGGGGAGCCACATATATATAGTCCGGAGACTTTGTAATAAGACTTACTTAGTTCTAATATAAGAATTTTAGCTTAATCTAGACAGAGAAAATGGATTATTACTCATGTTTCAACTTTGGTCAAGTTTAATCTTCAATCAAGCAACACTTCAAGTTTTCATCTTTCATTAATCCTTTCTTTAGTAATCTCAAATCCTTTCTTTTAGTTTTATTTATTTAATTTATTGTTGCTTGTTTTTGTTAATCTTATTAATTCACCTAGTTATTATTGATTTCATTGTTCTTAATCATGTTTTGTTTTGAGTTTCTTGAGCTTATTTCTAGTTTTGATATTATGTTTAATCTCCCTTCTCTAGGCTAATTTCTTAGCTAGGGGCAGGGTATGGAGAATATGTGTTGATATTAAATGAATGATAATGGTTGGATTGAACTTATGCAATAAATTGATGAAAGACATGATTTTTGATAGCTTGATGTTATTGTTGCACTCTATTTGATGTTTTCTAGTTTAAATGCATGAAAGTGATTTGAACTAGATTAAGATCATCTCTATTTTAATGATTACATCAGAATGAGTTAATAAAGTGGAGTTTTATTGATTGTGCTTGTTTATTCTCTTGATCTGATTATAACTAATAGGATGCAAGAGAATGATCCTTATTAGTATAGACCTTTTTCATTGATTTGCCTAGACTATTGCATGAGAATGAATTCTTTAGGTAGAATCTTGTGTTCTTTGGCAAGTTCTTCATGATAATCATTATTATTCCTCTCTTTCTAATTATATTTGACACCCCCGTATCCCTAGCATCATTTTCCCTTGTTTTTAATCATCATCTTCTTTGCTTATTTGTAGTTTTAGTGCTCTTTACTAAAAAAACCAACAAAAACGATCCCCTTTTTACTCAAACATTAGTGAATATTGATGTTGAATTAGTGTGCTTCTCTAGTGGTTCGACCCTTTACTTGCCACTAACTAGTTTGGTGTAAGTTTAGGTATTATAAATGATTAATTTGATTAGGGTAGTAGTTTAACGACCTATTTAACCCTCGATCAAGGATCTTAAGAATAAGAGTATTAGTTGTGCAATTCCTCTAATAAGGCAAAACTACAATATCAAAGAAACTAATAACACTAGCATAGATATCATCTTTCATAATATGCCAAGCTCTCTAAAAGAAAGAATTAAAGCTATCAATGCCAGGAGCCTTAGTGTTATCAGTGCCCTTAAGAGCATCATCAATTTCAACATGAGAAATGGGCTGGATAAGAGAATTGTGAGTAATAGAACTAAGCTGCTTATCTCTCCTCATAGTGACAAGACCAACAACAGGCAGCCAAGAAGCCTTAGTCCCTAAAAGAGACTAATAAAAGGAAATTATCTCATTGGAAACAACATAGGATCCTTGAGCAGCACCTAATTAAAATAAAAAAAATAGAATCAATTCTATTCTAGTCTTCATGACTAAGAAAAAACAGTGAGAATTTCCATCCCCAAGTTTAATCCAATTGAACCTAGATTTTTGCTTGAACATGCTCTCTTGAATATCAGTCTAGTGCTTAACAACCTCAATAGCTTCAAATTCCTTAACATATAGCTCCATGTAATCCTTATTTCAAGCCATCAAATTTTAAATCTGAAGAAGCTCATTATGAGCTTGATCAATTTTC